GAAACCGTTGCTGACAATAGCACATTCACATCAAGTCCTGTCAGACAAGTATGAAGGCTTCAGAACCTCCTCTTGGCTGATCTTGCTGCAGTCACATGTGAAATATTATCTTGTGCATGCAAGTAAACACATCAGGCTGTTATGCTGAAACGACCACCAAATAATGCAATGGCTATCTTTCTTTACCTTTCGAGGAGTCTCCAAGAGTAGTGCATTTTGCTTGTCCAACCAACAAGCCTGTTTTGCCAATTTTCTTTGCCTGTGGGAAAACAAATGTTGCAGTAATAGATTTGAAGTTTCAGAAAGATTTTGAAATTAGGTCGATTCAATAAACTACATTAGTGTTGTATTTCTGTACCCTGTTTGCATCATCAAGCAACAGGAAGCCAAATGACTCTTCAAGTTCCTGTTCAGAATATCCTTTTTCACATTTCTCGGAACGAAAGGCAGCATACTGTTGGAAGAATACATTTATTATAACATGATGCAAATCTCACTAAATCACTCGAAACTAAGTGCAGAATGAGGAACATTCAGATAAAACTTACCCGCTTTTGTAAAGCGCCATTGTTGATCAAATGGGCAGAGTTGTATGTGAAACATTCTTTTGATTCCTCATACAAATAGTTGTTATGAAGTGGGGCTAGAATACGCTCATTAAAGGTTACTGAGCCTGGATGCACAGGCTCCAGAAGACCTGGTAAAACAGGACACATGTTTGAGTTATACTAACTGCTTCACAATCTTCCAAAACATTCCTTCTTTCCAATAACAAACAAAATGGACAGTTTTCTAGGTCACATTCTGTCGCTCTGGAATTGTAACCAGAGAGCATGTTGTAAAAGTCATCTCAAGGACATTTTGAGATAAATGCTCGGTAAAAGCAATAAGTCTGGTAGAGAGCCACTTTGTGAACAACTTCGTCTGTAAAAACCAACAGTTTCATGAACTGGCTAAACAACTTTAAAACAAACAAAACAGTATTCGGCATTAAAGAAAGAACTATTGCGCAATTCTTATGCTGAAAAAAACCCACGTTGTTCATTAAGAACAGGACAACTGCGCAAGACTCCTGTTTCCGCACTAATCTTCCTAATGTAGAATACAACAACTAGAATGTCACATATTAAATAACTCTGTTCATTATTAAATGACGCAACTATACAGAAATACGAAATGCAGCCTATTCTCTTCAGCACATGGTGGATTTCCAACTTCTAACTTTTCTAGATAGAAAATCTATTAGCTGGTCATACCAGTTAAATGTGGTCAAGCTGGTTTTTGAAACATCTGTCAACCATGCTAGAACCAGCTAATGTTCATCTTAGACCAGCTAAAAAACAGTTACCACGTTTATAATATAATAAAAATAAAAAACAAAATTGATATTGCAATATGTCAATTGTGACTCAATCTTAAAATCTCAACAGTCATACCCTTATGAAAATTAACCATGGTTTTATTACACTAAAAGTGTAGTACTCTTCTCTTTTTTTTGGCATATTGATCATTATTTGTATTTAATGATGCATTATTGTTTTACTACAAATACCATGGTTAAATTATGGTTAGTGTAGCAAATCCATTGGTTAAGTTGTGGTTACCATGGTTTAACTATTGTAACCATGTGTTTTATTTGTAGCAAAACCACGGTTCATTTTCATAAGGGTATACATAATAGGCTATATAACATGGAATGAGGTTAATATAACAAAACGGTAAATACATCAACATTACTGACCATACTGGTCATAATTTACATTTAGACCAAAATAAGAAGACTTTTCATATTAGAGATCATGCAGAAAATCTAGAAAACACTAACTGGAAAAAAGTACAAGAGAGGACACTGTACAGTGGTGAACTGAAAAACGTGATTGTAATCAACCCTTATTCAAATTAATCCAAAAGCTTGGAGCAAAGGTAAAACTATCACGTGTAGTTTTACCAAGCCCACGCTGACTCCACTGCAGAATTGATTTAGAGTTAAGAGCAACCAACCAAACCAGTATTCGTGTCTGCTTTCAGCCAAAATAGGATAGTCGTTTAAAATTGTTCACAAAGCTGCAATACTGTGACTATATTGAAATACCTATGACTGAAACTCTCAAATTATTGACCAGCTTCGTTAGCTGTAAACACAAACAAAATGACCACAAAAAATGTGTGTGGGTTGAATTTCTGAATACACATTAATGTATAAATACACGCATAGATATTTCAGCACAAAACGGATTATACAAATGCTATTGACGCCAAAACAGAAACTAAACGTGTCCATGAGGCCACTAAAGCCAGTCACCTTCTGTTGATCGAGTAGTCACATTCTCCATGAAGACGAGGCATAGATCCCAGTTCGCTTTGCACTCGAGATATTAGATATTTCTAATCCTCGACGGCTCACGACATTCCACTTTAACGAATAAAAAGATACTGCCTTTTCCGTAAAACAGTCATGAAATGTTTATTTAAAGCTGGAAGGACAAATATTATGCTCGACGACTGGTCTCTGAAGCTGAACTGCGTTTTGAAGGACTAGAATTGTGCTGTGTGACTGTGTGTTGCAACCAGGAAGCGAATCCACATAAAGACAGCAAACGTTGGGCTGTGGAAACGACCGGCTGCCAGCGAATCGGTCTGAAGGACTGTTTTTAACGGAGTTCGAATTCTGACTGGGATTCCAATTCATTCGACAGCGCGCGCCGTCTGCTCGAGGGACGCCGCGGTATCTAGAAGAGAGTCGCTCGCGCGAGCAAAAGCGAAACGAAAAAGAAAAAGAAACAGAAAGTCAGACGTTCGCGTCCATCTTGCGTCCTGCATTCAGTTCCGTTTGGCGTCGCTAGTAGTCGCAGTCCAGGCATATTGAAACCACGCCGTTCGTAGCAAATTATACTCTGATTTATCCCTGAATTCAGTAATTAAAAGGGAAGTTGTATATGGTTATATATCGATAACGAGTAGACACCAGTAGCATGAATTTAACAATTATCCGTAGTTGCTCTGAAAAAGCCTCATTTACTCTTCCGGCCTCTAGGTGGAGCTATTCAGTTTTCTGCATTCCTGAACTCCACTCTTACGCCTAAAGAACATTCAGTCCTGGACGAAATGTTCACTGACTGAGTGAATTAGAGCAAAACAAAGCTGATTTTGTCCTGCTGTGCCTGCCATCTTTGGTCAGGCAAAGCCGAGGTGTAATGCATATAGAAAATATTTAAGCCTACTTTTGAAGGAATGCAGACAATACAGTTTAAACATCTTACTTGAAATATTAATAATATAGGATATATATCTCCTAATAGGGTAATCCTATACAGCATCAGGTATTGAGATTATGTACAGGAGCTATAAAAACTACACCAATTACAGCACTACAGGTTGAAATGGGGGAAATGTCATTAGAAATGAGAAGGGTACAGTTATCAGTGAATTATTGGGTTAATTTACAAGGTCATA